TCGAGCAAAGAAGCAGTCTCGAGCCAACGTACGAGCCCGAATTCACTGCCTTCGACCGCAGTATCATTGGAAGAGCACCTGCCGGTGTTACGGGTCTGACGAACAATGTCAAAGTCAACCGCAATGTCCCGGGGAACTCGACCCAGAGTTTTGTCTTTGAAGCTATCACCATCTTCGCCAATTTCTTCGATGGGACAGATGAGGCGTTCATGGTAGGACCTCGCGAAGGCAGCAATGAATCCATCTCACCGGAGCTAGTCAGCATCGAAGGCGTCAAGCCAGAGGATGAAGAGCGTGGCCTACGCCGCAGGCAAGCTCAGGGAAGGACCGTGTACATCTCAGCGACCACGTGTATACAGCCACAGCGTGCGGCGAACAACACAAAGGAGGATGCGCCACAAATCACGATGTATATCTCGACGTCTCAGGACAATCAGACACCTGGACCAGGGCAGAACTCTACTCTACAGAAGGAGGTCGCCTTTGTAGAAGGCGCGGCAACCTTTAGCGTCAATGCGACAGGTGACGTCTTCATTGGAATAGGCGCACCCTCAAAGGATACCGACAAATTCACGGGAGACTGGAACTTTGATGTCGCGGCGTCGACGGACGACTTCTTCCACAGTTTTGACGGAAATCCTTCTGAGCTTCTCTGGGTCGACAGTGACTCTAGCGCTGCACTCCTGACGACGCAGAACTTAACGACCTCCCAAAATGAGACTTTGATTCAGGAGATCATGGGGTCCGGGCTCCCGTTCATTATGTTCGTCGAGAACCGAGAGCAGCCCACAACTAAAGGTGTTAGACGTTCAATGTGTGGATTGGAGAACTACGCTCAAATCGCTGCGAAAAAGGGTGGCAAATTTGGCAACCTCGCCAGCACTCTTATGACCACGAGAGGCGCCGGGAACCTGCCCAAGCAGCAATTTTTCTTCAACGGGCTCAACGCGAGTGCTCTTTACTCGGGCATCTTAGTCCGCACAAGCAATTCATCCTCGTCGAGAAAACGTCAAGACGGCGCTCAGAGTGGCGGCGGCGGAAAGGTTTTCGAAGCGACGCCCTTCGAGACCAAAGATGGTATGTACACTGCCAGGGCAACAGTGCTATCAGCAACTGATTCTGTGTGTAGGGGAGAATTGTAAAATCGTCACCGATCTGCAATTTTGCAATGAGACGGAATACGCTGTGCCCGCGAACTCCAACAAGATGAATATCACTCAGCTTGCACAGTTCTACGACAACTATGCTCGGGATATGTATGCCAACTTCCAGAAACAGCTTGCCCAGGTAGCCTGCGAAGCGCCAGCAGTACAGCAGTACTCCCTCGCGCGAAACTGCTCCGATTGTGAGACGGCATACAAGAAGTGGCTCTGCTCGGTGACGATTCCGAGATGCGAGGATTTCACGAGTCCTACCAACTTCTCCTTAGTCAGGAACGTGAACCAGACATTCCCGAACGGAACTCTTCTACCAGTCGCCCAGCAAGAGTTGTATCCCAACAGAGTCAATCAGCATTCGAGAAACCCCCTCATCGACGAGATGGTTGAGCCAGGCCCGTACAGGGAGATTCTCCCTTGCGCCTACCTTTGCTATGACTTGGTACAAAGTTGCCCGGCGTCGCTTGGTTTCAACTGTCCTACGCCAGATGATGACATATTCAACTCGAGCTACGCAGAACAGGGCGATGGTCTGACCTGCAACTACCCAGGCGCCGTGCACAACCCATCTGAGTCCTCATTGCTATCAGTTTCATGGGGTCTACTATCGGCTCTCATTCTTGGTACACTCAGTGCAGCCATACTCTAGGTGGACGAGAAGGGGTGACATGACCGATCCCGCAGAGGGTATTCATTTTCAGTAGATTGACGGCCGACTTTTGTATAATGGGTAAGGGGCACAGCGGGATAAAGCAATGAGGGTTTTCTGGATGAATTGCATGGCATCGGCGTTAAGACACGACATCTACTTTGAAGGTTGGGACAAAGACGTCCTAGCGTATGTTCATGGCTGTATTAGCTGTGCTGGGAGGAACTGTCAGAGGAATAGAAGATCAGATGATTTTACAGACTTTTTTCTCTATCTACGTTCGTCTGTGATTTTTGATAAGACTAGATTGATGTCCTTGCAGGACGATAGGAACCTGCTAACAGTAGAGTACAGTATCTTACACTCGACGTACTGGTCAGACCCATTCCAAGCACGTATCCAGTCCTTGACAACCGTCAAGAGTCCCCACCTCCTGAGTGTCGCTCACGTACTTGGCCGTTAGGCCTTGATACCGCCTTTCTGGAACCTCTGGCGAATCGGCATTGCTGATCGGCTACCCCGTCTCCCCTGTGACGAGAGTGGAAGCGATGTTCTCTTCCACCAATCTAGGCGTCCGGCTCCATTCTCTCGTGCCGACCTCGGCCTTTGTGATCCTATGAGACCGCAACTGATTCCGTGCGTCTCTCTGATTCGTCTCGGATCTCTTTCATTCGCCCTCGCCATGTCTCTAGGCCTTCGTTCCCTTCCCTGCCTGCAACTCTGCGACCTTTGCCTCGAGACTCTCAATCTCCTTGCTCTTCTCGCCGCGAATCTCGTCCTGTTCCAGCTTCGTCCAGGTCCAGTAGGCGATTTGATATGTGAGGGTCGCCATCAGGAGAACTTTGAGGACAGGCCGTGTAAACGTTTTGTAAAATGTTCCCTGTTTGTTTGTGATTTCTGTGTCAGCGTCGTCGGGGTTCTTCTGCCAGAAAAAGGGTGCAACAGCTGTCGCAGGAGGGAGCAGGTGGGACGGCACGAACTACAATGGATGGCCTCTTCTCGTCATCTACTGATGTTGAATAGAGCCGCGATGCTCCGCGGGGCATCTGTGTTGTGCGCTGGGAGCGGAGAGCTCTGGTCAGGATCATGGAGCTGCTGCGCGCGGCCATGACGGGCTGCGGTCTCGTCGATCGGTCGTCGCTTCGTAACAGTTCGTACCCCGGGTCGTGCGATGGCTGCTTGAGCGGATTAGTCGCAGAAAACTCCGTATTCTATCGAGAATGGTCGCAGGTTTCTCCGTAGGTATTGTGGTTCACTGTCGTTTGTAGCTTGTAAGGTCCGTCCGTTTTCTAAAAGCTCCCGTCCTCGGAAGACTCGAATGATTGCGCTGCGCCACGCCGCGCCGATCTGTGGCGGTGCGCGTATCCCCCGCATAACCCGGCAGCGCGTCGACCGCCCTACGGCATTGCGGATCCCGCTCTTACCTGTGGCACAGGTGGCATTTGGCAATGTGCCTTCTTCCAGGGGTCAAGGTACCTCATTCCAAGGTCCCCTTCTGATTGAGCGGCGCATGGGCTTCGGCACCCCTGGCCCCGAACAGGCAATGGCCCCGTACGTCTTTTTGACGACACCATGTCCCGAACAATCAGAGGGTATTACATAGAGTGGAGGTGGTGGTGGCCGCCTGGAGGTCCTGAAGGGAGAAGAGCAATTCCCGTACGAGCCCGGTACGAGGGCCGGTACGAATGGTACATGAGCAGTGGAGGGCCCGCGCTTAGCGGGTAAGGTACCTAGGAAGCTAAGGCAGGTGAGTACGGAGTATGTAATACGGCAAACCACCTTTACCACCTCCCCTCGTGGTAATTAGCTTCAACCGCTCTTAGCCCGAAAGCTCCCTCGCGCAATCTGTCCCTTCAACCAGCTTCCCTTCTCTTCTCTCGACACAGTTTCGACAACGATCCGCCTCGCACACACGACCAAACACCACGTCTACCTCTACCTCTTCCAGCGCACTATATAACGAATCAAACTTCGAAACCGAATAACCGGAAAGACGAAGCAAATCACCAAAGAATTCCCATCGGGCAGACCACATCGCCGCAACCCCTTCATAACTCATCCACACATACATCACCACAATGGTATGCAACTTCCAACACAGCCCTCGCTGCACCGCTACATCAAGACCAGTGGTTCTTGACGGTTTCGAGCTTCGTACTAGGATACACTTACGACACAATCATGACCTTACTGACACTTCTTGATCCATAGGCGCAAACACCCCAACAGAGACGCGCAAACGCAAAGTTCGCTAAGGACAACGAGTCCCGCATGGGCAAGTCCGAGGATCAGATCAAGAAGCGCACCAAGGAGGCGCCCAAGTCGCCCATCTCCCCTATTTGGCTCAGTGAGTAGTCCCAATTCGCTTTCTGTCGTCTCCCATTGCGATCAGCCCCAATTGCCTTCCCAAGAGAAAAGGCTGCCAATTGTGTTTGGAAGCAGTTGCTAATATTTCCTCTCTCTATAGTCCTCCTTGGCTTCGTCGTCTTTGGTGGTATTGTCTTCGAGGTCCTCTCTCGCATGTTCGGCTTCTAAGTTGACCCGGCCGATGTTCGTACTCAGTCACAAAAGCGAATGAGTGTGTGAACGAGACAAAAAGTCCGCAGAACAGGGGAGGCTGCATGACCAATGTGGTTTCTCAGTCCGCACTCGCTTCTTCCGAGCAAGCCTCCTCTGAGGACTTGAGCTCAAACACAATCGCAGCATTGTTTTGCTTGCAAGGGGAGGATGTGGTCAGACAAGGACGCAGCTCAGTCTCCCCTCGGCAGTGGAGAGGGAAAAGGGGGAGTATTAATTTCCTGGAACACTTGGAGGGATTGAGCCCGTATCCCCAAATAGCACCTTGCTTCCAGTGGTGGGAACAAGTCTGTACAAAGAAAACGCCACGCATCGCTTTCTTGTCCTTCGTCGTGGGAAAGCAAGAACACCTGGTTAACGGCGTACTGTATTTGAAGTTTCCCGTTCATTTCATTTTCTCCTCCTTTCAGAGGCAGCTCGTTGATAGCAATCACCTCGATGAAAAGCAATTCACTTTTTTTATTCTACATCAAAAGACTTTTTGGGTTCCCTGTTTGGTCCTGACCATTCGGCCTCATCAACATGAACGCCAGAGCTACTAACAAAAGCCACGTGAGTACAGCTTCAACAACCTATTGTGTCCACACCAGCTTCCTCGTCTTGAGAAATCCCATAACTTACGCACCAAGACCGCGACGCTGGCCACCAGCATCGTACTTCATGTGCACACCAGCCTGGAACTGCTGCTCGAGTTCCTGGGTGATCTTGTTGATATCACGCTTGCCCTTGGCTCCAGAGACCTGAGGAGCCGCAGCCGCAGCGCCCTTCTTTCCGCCGCCCAGAAGACGCATGAACTTTTGCTGACGGTCTGCGCCTCCTCCCAGATGTCCGACGTCCCACTGCTCGGCGGCAGCAGCGTTGTCCGCAGCAGGTGCCTTGCTCTCCTTCTTGTCCTCCTTCTTCTGCTTCTTCTTATCCTTCTTGACCTTCTTGCTGGGGGTCTCCTCGGCAATGGCAACACCGCCATCAGATTCGTCTTCATCCTCCTCTCTTGAGCGCTTGCGCTTCTTGTCAGACTTCTTGGACTCCTTGACCTCTTCCTCAGCTTCCTCTACGGCCTTAGACTTCTTGCTCTTCTTCTTATCCTTCTTCTCCTTCTTAGCTGGGGTTGGCTCCTCGGGTTCCGCAAACTCTTCAACCTTCTCCTCGACCTTCTTGCTCTTCTTTGATTTCTTTGACTTCTTAGGCTTCTCTTCCATCTCCTGCTCCTGGGTAATGGCTCTCGCCTCGCTTTCGGCGCGGAGTTGTGCGCTGGGGTTTGGTGACTCTGGGTCCATGTCGACATCCTCGTCTTGTTCAACAGCTGCGCCGCCCTTGGTCTCTTCCGCCTCTGAGTCGGAGTCGGAATCCGAATCTGAGGAGGAAGAAGATGATGATGAGGATGAGTCTGAGGAAGAACCGGCTTCTGAATCGTTCTTCTTCTACAAAACCGCATGATCAGTATCCCGAATCCTATGGATTGGGTATTCCAATCGCCGTCATCCTATCTCGTGGACTTACCGTTCTCTGTTCTGCCATGGCCGCGTGTCTTACGCGCGCCGCCGCAGCCTCGGCCATGAGCTTCTTGGCCTGAGCCTCGAGCTTATCAGCCCGTCTCAGCATGCGGTTGAACCGCTTCTCGTCCTTGTTCTCCTTGCGCGCAGCCTTCTTGGCCGGAGCCTTGAGCTGCTTCTTTTCCTTTTTGGCGGCCGCATGTCTCTCGTGCTGGTTGCGCTTGCGCTCGATCTTCTTCTCTGTGGGATTTCGAAGCGGTTAGCCATGTCGGGTGCAGGTGATGTTGGTGGGCGCCGGCGCGCAAAGCGGCTGGGGTCTTACCCTTGCCCTCGGTCTGGGACTTCAAACCCTCGGCGCTCCGAACCACGGGTTCTTTGATTGGCGCCATGCTGTCCCGATTTCGTTGCGTATCCAGATGTTCGGGGTTTTCGGGTGGTATCACAATGGACTGGCCGATTGTCCTTCGGGCGTTTGGCAGAAGTGGCTGGGTCTTTTTTTTTTTTTCTGCCGGGCTGTGATCGACTGGTGGAGGTGCAATGAGCACAAAATTCTGGGCGGGATCGCTTTCTGTCAGGCGGTAAGAGACAACCTTGATGCTAGATCCCTGCAGGGTGGGGTGTTTGATTCCGAGAAATGGACCAGTCTGGGAGGTACGTACTGATCTTTGGTCCCTGGAAGCTTTGACCTGCCTTAACCGGAGTGACGGGACAGAAAGGTCAGGAACTAGACTACGGCCCCTCTTTTCCCGTACCGCCGAGCACTGCCCGATTTACCGGCAGTACGGTGCTCTAAGATTGTGAAGAGCATTTTTGATTGTTCTGGGGCTGTATACCTTTACTGACCTCAGCCTACGACAACCTTGTGTCACTATCCTGAATCCAGCCTATGCAACGGTACCTCGTTCACGTAAATGTTGTCTTCCTGGCATCAGTCACCTCTCTAACTAGTACACTACCTCTGCCAGTCTCACACGCGCATCCTGCCTCGACGCCTCCTACGAGGCTTTAGGCATACACACCATCAGCCAAGGCTGTCTGTCGCGGGAAATCGCTACTAACTATGCATAACTTACGCCAAGACCTGCCGTCACGCGATCCGACTTACACGAGGGTCGAAGGGTTGTTCAGCCCCAGCTTTAGATAGAAACTGCCGTGTCTCGGCGGTACTCTGAAGGGTCTCCGTGCATTCTATACATCACTAGAGTCACCCAGTGACACAGTCTCAAATTTCGGGTTCAGACGATGACATGTCTAGCAACGGCGAATGATGCGCGTCCTCGTTTAACAACATGGCGACGCCTTGTACTAGTTCCCCACCCACAAAATCCATCTTCAGTATGGATATAATCAGGTAAGAGTCATTTGGATGTCATGTTTTCAACTCCGGTATTTGACATAGTGTATGCAAAACCAGCTCACTACTCAATACCGATCTTTCTTGCCCCCCTAGACTCTACAGCAGACTTTCCCTCACTTAGATTAGCCTACTGCGTGTGAGTGGCATATGCAACGTCGATGATCACACCCTCATCTTTGCTCCAGAGCGAGCCAGAGCTGGTACAGGTTTCCTATTCTTGGGTTTCTATTTCGAATAGGGTGCTTGAGAGTTATGAGAGGTTTTGCCTTTGGATACAAAAAAGGTCGAGAGTGATATCTAATACAGGACCCGTCTTGGTGAATCTTTACTGTCGTGTCTTTCGTCCGCCATTAGATCCCAGACCCCGTTGAACTCCATGCTGAGAAAGCCAAGGAGTCATCAGTCCCTCCATAGGATTACACCCATTATCCAATCACTTCTTTTTTTCCAAAAACGGGAATTCAAGACAGGATGAGTGGTGTGAAATGGAAAAAACGAACAGAAGAAAAGGAGGTGAAGGTGTAGGGTCCATCCCGTGGACGAATTAAGAATGTCTTACGCGCCCGCCTTCTCCCCTCTTTTGTATGCTAAATCAACCCAGCCCAGCCCATCCCAACCCAAACGCCTGTGCCTTCGTAGCTTATCCAGAGTATCCCAAGTAATCGCAAACTAGCGCCTAAAACTCGTCATCAGAATACAGTCAATCTCTACAGGGAGTTGTAGATTTCTCTCACCGTCTGTGATGCCCCTGATTCACATCCCCACCCTGATCATAATCCAAATAATACGGCGAGTCACCGCCGTAGTAGTAATCCTCCCCGCCACTGCTCCCGTAACTCGCTGGCGCCGCCGGCTGATACGCCTCCGTGTAGCCGTTGCCGTAGTTGGTCATGTAATACGGGTCCTCTCTGACGTAGTCGTCGCGGCCGCTGCCCCGGCGGCTCTCGTGCTCGTGGCCGCGGGTGATGACGTGGTTCATGTTGATGCTACCCCAGGGAAGGCCGGACTCGGCTCCCTCTTCCGCGCCGCCGGCGGCGGCACCGCTGGGATCGGAGGAGCCCGAGGCGATTTCGTACGTATTCTTAGCGTTGGTCTCGTTGTCTGCGTCGCGGTCGGCCTTCTCTTTGCTGTCTTGGTTCTTCTTCCCTGTGGTTGTGCGTGTTAGTTGTGCTGCTGTGCTGTTTTACCCCCTTCGAGGACTCAAAATTCATGTTCCGGGGGTGCTCCTGGCTCAGGGATCCGGAGAATGGAAAGAGGACGTACTGAATTTACGTTGAGCCAACCGATTTTGGATGCGGCGGCGCTCCTCGGGGTCTGTGATTTCTGCCCAGTCGTCGTTCTTTGACTTTGACTTTGATTTTGGGGAGTGGTGCTTCTTGGAGCTTCGTTCCGACGATTTCGAAGCCTTGGATGACATGTTGCGGCTATTTTCCGGGTTTCAGACTAGGAAGTGTGCTGTTTGTTCTGCGCTCAAGTGGCGGCTCCTGAGAGAGCTGTGGTCTCACTTGGCCGTGAGAGGATGCCAACTGTTGCGGCAGTGTCTCTTAGACCCCTCGCTGAGAAGTGAGTTTTAAGCTAAGTGGTTCTCTTCCACAGCAATACGAGGCTGAAACGACTACTTGGTTCGTCAGAAGAGCCCGCCAACGGTTTTGACATCCTATACTTACAGCTCAGTTGTACTTGTGTTGTATAAGATATTCCCTTACGTGATTGGTCGTAACACTGACTTGGTATAGATCAAGGAAATGTCTAAAGGGAAAGCGGGTGTGGAGTATCAAAGGCTTGTGGGGGAGGTAATGGCAGTATTGTGAACAGGGTGTAAGTGTAAGTCTATGTGATATTGCCTGTCTGTACTAACAGCATCGCCACCAAGCTAGGGAAGAAGCCTCACTCTTATATCGAAACCCAGAATTTCCAGGCCACACATCAGAACAAGCCATGCTACCTTGGGCATGGGAAGCGTTCGTACCAAAATTTGGGAGCACCCACTTTCAACGGGGGGATCCCAGACAGCCTCACGTAACGAGTAGGGCAGATTCGAAAGCAACCCAAGACGCGGTCAGTCGCCCGTGGCTTCCGCGTCGTGACGCAGGACTATGCAAGCCGCCATCAAGGAATGTGCAGAATAAGATTCCCAAGTCTAAGCACAGACGGGGCGGAACACCCCCCATCTACCTCCATGGGCCCCATCAAGCCGTACCCGCAAGAGGGGCGGCAGACTACGGGAAGGGAGTGCGAGGAGTCCACGACACCGAGTCAAGGTACGGCTGGGGGGTGTGGCAACGGCAATGCAGCAGCCGCAAAGTAGACGGGGACGGGAGTTGGCAAGGGGGCAGCGACGAGCTGAGGCGGTTGGCAAGACTACCTTCGAGACCGGGATGTTGGTAAAAGGAAGAAGGCAGAAAATGCTGGACGCGCAGCAAAGCATAGTACGGATCGGTGAAGCCCGGAGGAGGGTGGGTAATCCCCGGGGCGCCGCCGAGAACGATCTCGGGAGGGCCAATTGGAGGCCATTGTGACGGATGCCTACGTCTCTGGACACGAAGTACGATGAGCCAGTGTGGATAGAGATATTGGACGTCCAAAGGACAGAAGTCGCAATGACTTCCGCGCGTCAGCGGGTTCAGAATGTGCCGTTGATCTCATAGGAAACCAGTCCAAGCCAAGACGAGGCAGATGACCAAGCACTCAAGGAGGAGGGACCCGCAAGTTCCACGTGGAATCGCTCCGGTAGGTAAGGCTTCGAAGAGAGACCGGGGGCCCGGGGTGGAGTCTGGAAGAGGCCGGAGGAGGACGAGATGAGACGGGGCAGAATAAGCGAGCAGGGCCCCGGCGACGTCGAGGACGATTGCGAGGGCTCTTCGTCTTCGGAACTACGTATTGAAGGGGGGTAGCTTCGTGAAGTTGGTACGTCAGGATTTACGTAGACAAAGACAAGATTCTCACCCAAAATCAACTTTGATAATGGGTGAGTGGGCTGTCACTCTCGAACCAAGCTTTCGCAATCTGTACATGACTGCGGGTACATGCACCTCCTAACAACGCAATGAGAAGAGCTCAAACGCGCTGGAGCAGCTTCCACCAGCATCTAGCCGAAAGTTTGGGGAATCGACAGCTCCAAATTTGCCATCAGCCCTAGGTCGATAGTAGAGTGTGCCCATTCGCCCAAGAGCAACGTTGTTGCTTGTGCCTGACGTGCGTGTTAACCAGGGATGGATGGTGTGCGGGGGGCTCGACCTGCATGGCATGCGGATACAGTCTAGCTAGGTACCTACTCGCGGCCGCGTAGCTGCGAGTTGGCCTTGATTGATAGGACACCTCTCGCCCGGTACTGGATGCCACACCCCTTCTCGATGAATCGAGGCGTCTCCTATGCAATCCCCGACCCTAAAGCACTTGGTCAGACAACGTTTGAGTGCAGCCATAGCAAAACTTGGGCGGGACTTGCGCCCGTCATCCCAACTCCTCTAGCAAGGCAGGCTTTGGGATGAAGGGCATCTCGAACCTCGGACTTGATCGTTGAGAGAAAGGGTGTCGTTGTCCATATGATCGATGAGTCGTAGCTTGAGCTCCGCAAGTACGAAGAACAGTAGCCGATCTGCCGTCTTTCGCGGAGTTTGAAGTTTGACACCCTCGTTTTGTCAAAGGTACGTGAGTGCTGACGAAACGGCATGGCGTGTAATTCGTTCGCGTCTGACAGAGGCTGGCCCTGTTGCGCCAGACAAATGAGTCACTCGTAGAGACCTGGCTCCGTTTTTCTTTTGTATTCCCTTTCGACATTGGTCTCTTGTCTGGGCGAAGGAATAAGCGACGGCGAGCGTACCTAAGGTAGTGTACGGAGTACGAAGTAGCGTCTTTCCAATCCTTCGAGACGCCGCCGTGTGCGGCCCAGCTTCCGAGGGAGGGGAGCGTGCCCTGGGTGCGAAACATTCCGACTTGCCTGCGGAACGGTGAGGATTAAGCTTATTGATAGACCCAGGAATTGCCCCTAACGGCCCTCACAGAAGCAATGTTGCGAAAAACACTCGGTTG